CCACCCCGCCCCGCGACCTCAGTGCAGGACCTGCCACCAATGCAGCCGCCACCCAATGAAGTAACCCGACATCTCTCACTATGCACTGCACGCCGTGCCTGTGCAGCGCGTGTTGCGTGGCCGCCCCGGCACGTAACACACCACGCGTGCATTTGCCTCCGACAGCCGCTGGCTCGCTCGCTCAAGCCCGGCGTCCTGCAGGTAAATGCATGCATAACACTTTGTTGCATACGAGCATTAGTCACTCAATGACGGCCGAGGTTGTGGTTGGTTGTGGTGGTCGCGATGGCATAAACAAGCAGGCCCGCCCTTCTGCCAAATGGAGTTGCCATAGCTCTGCTTCACTTCGTCGGCAACACTCCACTCGGCAGGGCTGGGACCTGAATAAGGCATTCCGGTAATAAGGCTGATATGCAAAAGAATGCGGGGAAGAAGAAAACGGAAATGGCTATGTTTTAACATGGCCACTTCCGTTCCCTTGTTCCCTGCATTCTTCTGAATTTAAGCTTCACGGGAATGCTTTATTGACCGTGCTGCTGCGGCCTCACTCAAAAGTCAGTGTGCACGCTTCTGCACTTTACCTTTGTTCTACGCGGTTGTGGGTCTGTGGCCTGTGGCCCACTCAGATATCCTTCTCGAACTATTAAATACATTGCTCCCACTTTTTATTAGACAGTCCCCTGTGGCTTGGCTGTCTCTACCCGTAGGCAAGTAAGCTCAAGTTATCAGTTCTGTTACGTTGTCAGCCTCATACCTGGTGGCTGATTAACCCCGCGCACTTCTGTAGTGAGACTGTATACCGCACGCAGGAGTGCGGGCGGGCTTACCTATCGCCCTGTCCACGGCGCCTTACGGGCCGGGCGAGTAGGCAGGCAACCCGCCCGCACTCGTGCGTGCGGTACAGTCTAACTACAGAAGTGCGCGGGGTTAATCAGCCACCTGGTATGTTCTTTTACACGCCCTTACACCCCCATATGGATGGTTGACGGGATTTGCTCCAGGCCCTTTGGTGTCCAGGAGTGACCCTTGAGCACTTGCAAACTGGTTGGCGTCTTTTAAGGTCAAAATATAGCGTCCTCTGATGAACGCCAAATGGTGGCGTTCAAAGACTCCAATTGCCCAAAAGACGCCGATATTTCGCGTACTTCATTTGACGTTAAAAGGCGCCGAGAACTAGTAACGGACATACCACACACGACACGCAAGCGGTCGCATAAGACCTCTCTGAAGATCTATCAATAAAAAGTTCTGTGATCCGGGCGCCTAGCGGCGCTTCGGTAGATTCGGCAGAGAACTGGTTCTTTAACGCTCAACCGCCTTTGCGTTGGAATAGGTCAGCCTTTGGAGTCCCTATGGACAGTGCTGTAGCGCACAGTACTGTATGATTATCTAAAACTTACGGCGAAATTCAGCGTCCGCCCTGACAGTGCTCCCACACGCCGGCAGGGAATTCCGGATTTTTGAGACCGTTTCACCATGTTGTGGTCACGGCAGCGGCGCCGCGAAACAGTGACCGTGCCCACGAGGGACTGAACGTGCCAAAGAAATACTACCTCCGGTGTTTCAAGCTTTTACACAATCTCAAATTTTAAGAGGCAGTGAACGTTTGCTGAATCTAATCAAAAATGTAGTAAGCGTAGCGGACGGCCCAGCGATGACAGCAAGAAGCGTATGGCCTTGATCGGGGTTCCTAGCTGTTTTGGTCTCCCGGTAAACAAACATCTGATTCGGTCGGCGACGCTCCAGCAAACACAAAGATGCAGGGGGGGTATAGGAGGAAGCGCAGGAAATCCTCCACGTCCCTACCTGAAAGGACACTAAAAAAAACTTGCAGTAGAACAAAAGTTTTGACACCATTCATTAAAAAAAAGTCTAAAGCTGCTAAATTTTTAATGTATTAATTATGTGAACAACACAAAAAAAGTTTTAAATCACCAATTTTAAGTATAATGTCGACATTTACGAAATTGGCGGTAGGCTTTTCTTTACAGTGGACAACGATTATTAGTTTACTATAAATGGGTTAGTTGCTATAGCTAATATCTTCGTTGACAACATATGCGCCGAGTCAAAGAGAACTATTCAATCAATTTAACAATTTGAAAATCAGTTTCCAAATTTTTCTGTTATTGCATATCGGCCCTCTCTACCTCTCTGAAATCGGTGTTCAATATTCAAATTTTTGGCTATTCAAGCCGGAGGGTGACCGACCCACGAATGTCTGGCCAACTGGAAGGCAATATGACGCATAAATGAAGGTGTAGTCCGTCCCGTCCCGTCAGATGTGAACGCTCCTGACTAAGTATGCACTCCAGCCAGCTTATCACATTCGATGAGACTAAGCAAGCTGCCATGAACACAGTCATGCACGATCGCTATTAAAATAGTCAAACTTTCACTTGCGCAGCCATTTAAATTCTTTTGAAACCCCTTTCCTACCGGAATTATATTATCAGTGGCATCAAACAAAATTTGTTCTGAGAACCGCTTTGCTATTACCTACCACAGCGAATACAAATTTATTTCGCGCATCAAAGGAGTTAGCTGGGCGCCGAGCTGGGCGAACTAGCCAACTTATTTGACTCGCCATGAGCCCTTGCACTGCATTGGCATTGGCATAGGGGGTAGTTCCAGGCCAGGCTGGTGACGGGGGGGCGGACGGGACGGCGGGAGCCCCATTGGCGGCGCGGGACTGACCTGAAGCCATGGCAGTGAGCTCTGGCGGCGCGGCGGTGAGCTGGGCCCTGTAGTGCGCGCGCCCTCCGCGGCGCTCCACGCCCTGCGCGGGCCAGCGGCGGCGAACTGCGGTGAGGAGCTGGGCCCTTTGGATGCGCGCGACGCCCGGCGCGGGTGACCACGAGAGGGACGCGGCGCGCGAGCGGCCAGCTTGCTTCAGCACGCGGGAGTATGTCTGTCCACAGAATGGCGATCCCGCGAGTCCGGGGCCCGCGTGGAGTGCGCCATGAGTGCGCCCCCCTGGCGAGGCGGCGGCCCGGCTGTAGCCGGCTGCGCAGGGGCGGGCTGGGGTCCCTCCGGCCCGGCCCGGGTCCGCGGGGCCGGCGAGGGCCAGCGGGCAAAGTCAGGCGAAAAGCCCACATAGCAGTCATGGTCAAGGCGACGTGCGACGCCTCCTAAGCCGCAGCATACCAAGAGGGGGGGGGGGGGCAGCCTCCCGACTGGAGAGGTCCTTACGTAATGACTGGGACCGAGAGGAGAGGGGAGGTGTGGGGGCGGAGGCGATGCAGCGAACTGTTTGATGGGTAGGCAAATTGTTTCAGTAAAAGTTGTAAGCCGGGGTACCAAGTCACTCAGTTATCTGAAGTTTATCTCTGCGGTTACCTTACTTGGTACAATGTGTAAGCTTCTGTATGGTTTTCGCCTGTCATGAACGAGGCACCACTCTTTTTTTCCCTACCCGGGCAGAATGTAGTGCATTATTGCTTCCTCATTAAGCATCGCCGTTACCGACCTTGCTCAGCTGGAGTGTCCACGCTCCGTTTTTGCTGATGCGATGCCGTCGCGATGCGCAACACGCAGCATGTTGTCGAAAACACCCCGCCATTGTTCAACTCATATTCCCCAACGCGCAACCTAGTTCCCGATTATATTTTCGTTCTACAAGTACGCAAAAATCGTGCCCCCCCCTCCCCCTGGCTTATGGGAAAAGGAGGAGCAGGAATCAATCTCGGATAAACGACCTGGACTTTCAATGATGGGCGGTTCGCAAAGGATTTGGGGAAGGTGTCGCGCAAATGCGGCTGTGCAAGGGGATGCGCCTTCCCGCTTCGCCCCCGGAAGTCTGACAGGTGCGCCACGCGCGATGTGGGGCACGGGCGCTAGGAAGGGGAGGAGGGTGCTGGCCCGAGCCAGCGGCACTCATCCGAGCCGTGCTGGCAACGCGGTCTCCACGATCCTATCCGTGGCCAGGAAACTCGATACGCTTGACGAGGAGTCCGGGGCCGTTTCTAAAATATGGTGAGGGCCGAAGGGGGACTTGAGAGGATGGGGATTGGCCGAGAGGGGTCGCGTCGTGCGGGTCGACTTGAGACAGTAGCTTAAGTCGTAGTAATAGGGAGGCATCACCCACCACCAACCCCACCGCCTACCTCCCTCAGCACTCGCGAGTTACCCAGCTAGAAACATCGTATCGATATCCGTCGAATCGACATTGACTCGTCGAAAAATTCATCGTTTCTACGTATTTTTGGACCTCTGGTTCGACTAACGACCCTAACGACGTCGATATGACGAATGTCATTTCCGGCTAGGTAGCGCCCAAACTGATGTTGAAAAGATACGGTTTGAATGCACAATGCATATCCATAGTAAAAGAAATGTAAAACTTTATTCCATTGACATATATAATTATTACAGTCTTGAAGAGGACGTTTAACAACATATTAAAAATACTACTTCATGATGATGTGAAAAGAAAATTTGTTGATTGATAAAGATAGCCAAACAGCAGTTGTCATATAAATTTAGTTTACATGCTACATGACTCAAAATGTAAATATAAATTGATTATTCATAAAATTACAATTAATAGAGAATTTGAGAATTTCAGTACCACAAAATAACATTCTACTATATTATACAGGCAATTTCATTCCTAAAAATCTCATCAGTTTAAACCAAGATCATGATAAAATAACAAATAATGCAGGTGAAAGACCACATAAAATGAGAATGCTAAAGTTGTCATAGAATAGACTAATTTTCAGCAAAATGAGTCAAAAGCAATATACCAGTTAAAGAGACCAGTGGATGTGAACGATGTCATTGCTTAGAAGGTCATAATCTTTCTTGCTACTTCAAAATACTAGTTCAATAAAACAATAATTACCATGATTATCGCCCGCGCCCACGACCTCTTGAAAAGCCACCTCTTGAAGGTCCACCTCGTCCTCTCCCTCCTGGGCCTCCTTTGCCCTTTGGTGGTGGTGACTTTGGCCTGAGTGCTTCGATGCGGTCTGTGCATCCGGTAGTTAGTTGCCCTGAGTTGAAATAGCTGTTGTATAAATCAGCATTGTAGTTGCTGTTCGTTAGTTCAGGACCAATTGTCAGCCAGCCTGGGCGTATTGTGCTGTCTCTTCCAAAAACATGTAATCTACGGAAAAGACAGATATCAGATAGCAACTTATTTTAAAGTTAACATAAGAATTTAAAAAAACTGATGTATACCTTCGACGCCCAAGACAAAAATGTTCAATGATGTGAAAAATTTCCACTGGTTTCTCTAATGAGCCATATTCTGTTTCCTCAGAAATAATAAGGTCTATATCAACATTGGCATGAATAAAATCACCATCAGTTGAACGTCTAACAGTTCCCTTTATGCCCATGAGACAGTGTTCCTGGAGGGGTAAAAAAAATGTATAAATGGGTATAGTTGAGTCTGGAAGAGATAATTGTCAAACCATTTTATGTTACCTTTGTTCGTTGAAATACTGCTTTTGGATCAAGATTTTTTGAATGGCTGGGATTGTCGATGTTTGTACGAATCCAGCAGATATCTTCACATCGACGAAAGCCCCACTTACGAAGACAAAATCGACCCATATCTAGGCCCTCAGAAGAGCCACACCAGAGAAAAAGAAAGCTCCGAGGAGCAGCTAATTCTCCTATATCAAGTTGCATGATCTAAACATTGAAAAAAAAGTCAGTACAAAGATTTCAGTGTTATGAGTTGACATATATACATATAACCAACCAGCCCAAATACCAACCCTTTCCCAAGACCAAAATTCCATGTTGGTGACTCCCATAGTCCGCTGATATTCCTCTAAAGGTGGCTCAACAAGGATCACATCAAATTTATGATCAAGTTGTTTCAAATCCATCGTTTGTAAATTACATTTTAAGTACATGGGAGGTGTTGCAGTTTGCTGGATCAAGTCATCCTAAAATTTAAAAAATAAATAAATCCTCTGACTTTAACTAACAGAATTTGTGGTCAAAATACCTCAAAGAACCGAAAATTACTTTAAGCTTGATAAGCTCTCTCAGCTTTGGATATTCCTCAAAACGGTCTGCAAGGCCAACATCCCTGATGAAATTTTGAGGACGCTGTCCCGTATCCACAAAGTGCTGACAATAATCATTGTGAGGATTTGAAGATTGAGTTCCCTAGATAAAGAAATGTTGTCATTGCAATGTACAGAAAAATTATTGTGTGCTATTTTTACATGTTCAGTAACTACATTGTAAAATGTTGAGAAAATGAGACTCACCTTCAGAAACGTTGAAGAGTCTGTATACACCAGTTCATCAGCTACTTCATCTTGATTTGATGATTTTTCCGCTTTGCAATCGCTGACTGGGGTGCTGCTAGTACTTTGTTTGCGATCTTGAATCTCGTCTCTAGTGCCAAGAGCTTGGCCCAGCTCATCAACATTTGAAACCCCTAGCTGCAAGAGGCAAAACGACAAGTTAAAATGCTATCATTTTGTTACAGATCAATGTGACAGTACCATAACAATATTTTAGCGCACTTTATCCAATTAAATGACAAACTTACTGTTTGGACTAAAAGCTTCTTCCGTTTTTGAGATCTTTCTCGTAACTCTTTAATCATGTCTCCCATATTTATGTCTTATTCTTAAATAAGTGTCAGTAAAAATAGTATTAAAATTATTTGTGGTCTATTGAGTATATGCACAGGAAGGGCGAAAAAATATAACAAGACACAACCACTACGCGCACGTAAACAATAATCGACAGAGAAATGATTACTACGACATCTAGAGATAGTAACAAGAAATTGAAGTTTTTTCAGAAATCGCTTTCATTTCTGCTATTGAGACATAAACACAACGTAACCTAACCTGTGCCTGTTGTTTTGAAGTATTCACATATTCGTATCGACATTCAATTCACAAAACAAGATGAGATGAGAAATTGATGAGTAACTAATACTGCTCACAGCGCGGTAAATTCGAATGAAGAAACGGGGTCTACAGTGTCTGGTGATAGTGAGCCTCGAGGGCTCTGCAAAAATGTTCCCCCACAATTAGCGGTTCCTTAAGAGACGCTAGGGAACCGGGAGGCATCTTCGGAAACGAAACCACGCCGAACGCCCCAAGCCCATTTTTATTTGGGCACTCCGGGCGGGCCGCCGGCTCCACACAGCTGCTTGGCGGGTTGGCCTACCCACCGCGTTGCAGGCGCTATCAGCGCAGCGACGCCACGGGGGAAAATAGTTTATTGCGAATTGACAACCGTTCATTTCGATAGCACTATTTGTTGACGAGCTATATCGATCTTGTCTGCGGAGACCCTGTAGGGAATCTCCGTTAAGGCGTTGAAAGGCAACCCACACAACGACCTGCAGCCAGGCGTCTTTGGATTTGATTTATTCTACCTGGCTCGTAACTGATAAGAGGTATGAATTTCAACATTAAATAAAATTTGTAGATCAGACAGCTATCTAAAACTTTTACAGAACAATTTTGCTGTTCCGTCCATAGATCAATCACAAAATCAAGGAAACCAAACTTTGAACAGGCTCAAAATAAGAAAAAAACTAGATTTTCGGTCCCTTTTATATGCATTATGAAACTAAACCTGGACAAATTATTTCGAATGGTAAGAACGTTCCACATTGTACACCCGCAAGCCTGATAAAATTCAATGAGCCAATCACAAGTAAATCGAAAAGTTGAAAAATTGTTCAAAGACCCCCCCCCCACCTCCTTGCCCCTGCCCCCGCCCCTCGAGCGACAGCGCGTCGTGGACTCGTGGACTTCGATGGATAGACAACACCATCAACTCAGGTGGAAAAGTGGTTGCCTACCCTGACCATTGCTTGCGCACTAGATAGCTAAAAACTAGCCCGTACGGGCCAGCCAACATCTACACCGGCAACGGCACAACATGCAACAACTGGGCTAACGTAAAGAAGGCCATCACCTTGCTGTCGGACTTGTCGAAGCAAGGGCAAGACACCGCCGGAGACATGCCGGAGTGCCAGCACCACTGCTTCACACCCCCGGGTTAGACCTGGACGACGACGGAGATGGAGTATCCACTCAAGCTGCATCACCAACAACGCCCACGTCAGTATTGTCAGATTTTCTCACGAGCCCAACTGCGTGTAGTAGATGCCTACGTGACACTACGTCACACGACTTGCCGCTCAATGTTTTTGTTTTTTCAGTGCTGATGTCGCGCTCGGCGAGGAGGCCCTGCTTCTCGCTGCGGAGGAGGAAGAGGACAGCGAGGTCGACTCGCCGTCCGACAGTAGTGCCACCCAGAGAACCATTTAGTTGATACAACTAAATCGGGGTTGTAAGAAACAAAATTTAGTTCCTGAAACCGACTAAAATTTAGTGACCCCATTTTTAACTAAATATAGTCGCACCAATCCAATTAGGTCAGCTAGACTAAATTATTTCATCGCCACGGATAAATTTTTGTCACAAGAGCTAAAATTTCGTCGGTTTTTAATTTGGTCCTATGGACTAAACGGTCTTCTGGGTGTGGCAGCGACGGTGAGCAGAGCGACGTCCGTCGAGCCTATCGACGAGGGCCCCAAGCCGCCCCGCACCTACTGCCTCTCTGCCGTCGACGTGCGAGAACTGCGCCGCACTCAAATGTACCATGCAGGACATGGGCACAGTCACCATGCGCCCATGCCGAAGAAGGCCAGGAAGCTCGCTAAAGCCTTCAGAACCCCGCTCAACGCTGCCAAGATCAAGAAGAGGGGCTTGCTGAAGGCGGTGTTGGACGTGGAGACGAGGTGGAACAGCAGCCACACCATGCTCTGCAGGCTCCTGACGCTGCGGCCGACGTCATCGAGACCGCAGTGAGGGAGGCCGAGGAAAAGAAGCGACGCCGGCAGCGGCGACAGCAGGCGCAGCAGCAGCGCCGCCGTGCCAAGAAGTCCAAGAAGCTGCCCAACCTCAGCGCCGTGGAATGGGCGCGCGTGGAGGGCTACTGCAAGAGTCTGGAGCCAGCCAAGGTGGCCACAATGAAGTTTCAGAGGGAGCAGCTGACCGTCGGTGACTGCTTCGCGTCGTGGGAGTACTGCGAGCAGGCCACCAAGGAGATCGGGCACGGTGCTGGCAACCTGGTCACCTGCATGGAGGGCAGGAAGAGCGACCTGCTGGCCACGGAGGCGTTCGCTCCGGGGATCTTTCTGGACACCAGGTTCAAGTCGCTACTCGAGCCGGACGAGGTGAGAGTCGCCATCGCCTTTCTCGAAGCGCTCTGGATGCGCCTCAACAGACAGCAAGCACCGGAGGGCCCGGAAAATGAGCAAGTTGACGATCCTGAACCGCAAGATAATGAAGACCTTTTGGAGCGGCGGCTACGTGAGCGCGAGGCATGCGCTACTGTCATCACTAGCAGGACAGAGGCTGCTAATATTAGCAAAATACTGCATAACTATGCTACATGGAAGCGTATTCCGAAGGACACCTACATTTTAAAGTTTTGGGAGTCGAAGAAGGAAATGCATCAGAAATTGTATGCTCCTAGTCAAGTTGTGCTCTGTGCCAATGACTCAAGTAAGTGTCGAGCGGACTTTTTCACACTTGAAGCAGATTTTGTCAATCCCGAGGTACAATTTGTCTTCGGACATTATTAATGACATATTAGTTATAAAATGTAATTCTATTGTTTCACAAATAACCGAATAATATTTCATTTTTTTTTTCGCAGTGATATTGATGTTTTTGTTTTATTTACTGTTATTTGACAGCTATAGATTCTGACCAACATGTTTTTTCAACGATAAACTAGTTTTGGAAAACTTCAATCTGGTAAATCATTTTTAACGTTTTCTGCGTGGTACAGCAACATGTTTCAGTCCCAAACAGCGGTGAGCGATGGCTTCGTTCATACGGTTCAATGGATAGGGAGATTATACGCCTGGCGGGCAGGCAACACACCACACAACTGTGTTCTCTCATTTGCCTACGCGGACGTGAGTGATTCGCCCCGTATTACAGTGCCCCCCCCCCCCCAAACACGCGCACGCATGCACACGCAAGGTGCTAGATCTTTTTCTGCAGTAGTGGCGAAAGACAAACGCGGATACTACCCAAAGTCACTGAATCATTTACCCCGGTCGGTCGGTCGAAGAGGTTAGCGCGAGGCGTGCTGTGGTGGCCGCACCTGGACGAGCAGACCGAGGCGGTGGTGAACAGCTGCCAGATCTGCCAGGCGAACCGGGCCGCCGCGCCCGCGCCGCTGGTCAAGCCGTGGCCGCGGAACCGTAGGTGGGGCAGGGTACACCTGGACTTCTGGACTTCGGGGAGCCACGGCGGGGGGAGGTGTTCCTTGTCGCGGTGGACGCGGAGACCGGCTGGATAGAGGCCTGGTGGGTGGCGGGGCCATCCACGGCAAGCGCGATACGCTGCCTGCGAGAGGCTTTCGCGCGACTAGGCCACCCAGACCTGGTAGTGTCCGATAATGGCACGGCCTTCATGTCCGAAGAGATGAGAGCCTTTCTGGAAAACAGAGGCATCAAGCAGTTGACCATTGCAGTGTACTGCGCCTGGTCCAGTGGGTTAGCGGAGAGGGCCGTGCGAACAATCAAGGAAGGGTTGCATAAGTTCGAGGGGACGGCCACAGAGCGCCTGCTGGCGGTGTTGGAGGCCGCCCGCTTCACACCGGGCGCGGACGGGTTGTCGCCCGCCCAGCGCCTGTGGGGCTGGCAACCTCCCACACCCCTAGACCGCATGCGTCCCACCGCCACCCCGCCACCCCAGGGACAGGGGGGGGGGGGGAGCTGGAGGGAAGGTACCGATTCGAGCCAGGGGAGCTGGTTTGGGTGCGGCAGTACGGGCGTAAAGGGACGAAAAAGTGGATCGAAGGGTGGGCGTTGGAGAAGCAGGGGAATCGGTCATGGAGGTGTGAGTGTTTGAAAGGGCCTAATGTGAAACGTCATGTTACGCAGATGCGAAGGCACAGTGGACGGGACAGCGAGTGGAAGCGACCCGTGGGAGAACTTTCGGACAACGAAGAAGAGGCGCAGGTGCCCACTACGAAACCGTGGTTGATCGGCCAGCGGTGGGAGACACCGTGCGACCCCCCATCTTCGCCTGTCGAGGAGGTCCCCGCCCCCGCGAAAGCAAGAGGCCAGAGCAACGTGGTGGCCCGCACCGCCCGCACCAAGCATCATTGACATCACGAAGTACGTGTCGCAGGTGCTGAGCGCGGCACGTCAGACCAAGGGCATGTTGGCTGAGAAGCTGCAGCTGACGGAGGAACTGCAACAGAAGGTGGGCGAAGTGCAGCAAGTGGCTGAGAAGTTGGAGGCCCTGGACGAGTGGCGCGACGGCCGCCGAGGTCTTCCAGACCTACTAATAATACTGTCAGTGAAGCGTTGCACGGAGCGATAGCGGAGTGCAACGCTTTGGCGTGGGGTTCTGAACCTCACTGAGGCCGAGCGGACGCATGCCATTTCATATTTGGCGTATCCTACATATATTTACTGTTCTCACTCCGCACAACGCACTCAGATATTAGAGCTGCTGTTTATGCTGTTTGGGCCAGCCAGCGGCCAAGCGCTCAGGCCCAAGGGCCACTAGGCGGCCCGTAGCGCCTCAGTTCCAGCGGGATGGAGCGGCGGCAGCCGGAGGCGCCAGAGATCCAGCAGGGCGGGGAGGGGGCCCAGCTCGTCATTTAGCGCCTGGCCCCCGCCCCACAGGTTGGCTAATCCCAAGCTGCGCCTCAGTTCGAGTCGTCCCCGTCCAGTAGCTGGACAGACACCCCGACACCTCCGGCGCGCGGACGCGCACACCCGCTGCCCAGAGGCGCGAAACATCGTACACATGATCCCATGATAGTCCTTAGCTGATTTCGCCCGCTAGCCACTTCCGCAGTCCGTGCGGACGACCTGGACAGCGGGTTG